TAAACAGTTCTCGAGTCATCCTGAGTTACTGTCAAACCACGAAAAAAGCCAGTCGAGGTAAGTTAGTTTAAGTAATTTTTTGTTGTGCTTAATACTAGAACCGGCTGCAAACCATTAAACATATCAAACATTCCTAAGTGTTTTTCAATTTAAATGGGGAAGATTTTGCAAATTTTAATTATTGAAAATAGAGACCTTGCGCACGCGCAGACGTTTTGCACGCGTGTCGGTACATGCAGCTATGATGTCAAGTGCTGCTGCAGATACCTCCGTAAGGTCCTCCCTTAGGTAGTTTGCTTTTGCAGCCCTCTCGGAGTGACACATTGCATGTCGTATTACACGTTCATCAAAAGATGCACCATTGCACTTCTTTTGGTGGCAGGTTGTCACTATCCACTTGCGGATATTTGTCGCCGCTACACAAAGATCTGGTCTCACACCTGATTTCTGCAAGAATTCTGGGAGCCTATTGGCAATTTTTCCACCTTTGAATGCTTTGCCATTGCTCTGCAGGAATAGTTGCTCATCCTGTGGTGCTGGAAATTTAGGTAGTACCTCAGCCACGTAAACATCTAAAATATCTTTCAACGAATTGTTCAGGGAAAGCATTGCTGGGCCATCCATCTGTCTTTTGTGATTGGGCACCAAAATCACGTAATGACCACGTTTGGGGTCCTCGCGCATTGATTGGTAATAACACATACAGCAGTTCTCTAACGCCCCCGGCCGCGTGCCTGTCTTAAATGTTATTAGCGTGATTAGGTAATCCCTCGCATCAGTCAGCTGACGTTCGCTTAGAAATTGGGACTCTGTGGCGCTCTCCAAAATAACCTTTGCCTCACGAACTTGTTTGGTCTGGCAGAAATTTTCCACATCGTCACTGGTGAGGCGATTGTCGCATTCGTCAAGGATGTGCTGTGTTCTTTGGGGACACAGATCGATGTCGACAGTTCTTCGCCAACCTTTCAGCTTCGGTATCACGTTGCAAAAAACTCGTTTCGTGCCACTCGCTCCTCTACCACAAAAGTCAGGAATTTTTGATACATGCCAAGGTACGCATTGATGGTGCCTGTTTTTAGGATGTGCATTTTTAGGTCTACCCAGTCTGTCAAGACTATATAGCCTTCACCTCGGGACAACACCTCTAGGTCTGAACCGTGTGGATCTAGGTCTTCCAGGATAGTTTTGATGTGTGCTGCATGCTGCAGTCTATTCCTTGCCTTCCTTTCACCATCGGGCAGGTTGAGGTGGTTGTAAAAGGCTATCAACCACCTGTGCCTATCGGTCGTTGGGTTTGCCGAGGTGAAGAAATTCTCCTGCAGGGTGTACTCCACTCCAGTATCGTCATCCTCATCTTTGTTTTCCTCTGATGGAGTGGAGGTGGATGGTCCCTCATGTTCTTCCATGGTCTTGGTTGATGAGGTGTCTGTGACGTTTGAGGGCATTGCTGACCATTGCGGCGTTTCACTCTCTTCATATATCTGCCGAGATTGTCTGCCTCAATCTTCCCGCGATACTCCCTAGCCACCCGAACATACGTGTCAAGCAACTTCCCAGATCGCGCTCGGTGTTTGTGTTGGAGATGGCTTCTCAGCGGATGTGTCACACCCTGGCAGCCTTCATAGGAGCACCAATTCAATTTTAGTTCGGGCCTCTGACCGCGGTGTACTGCTCTTCTCCTATGTTTCCTCTTTGCCACACTTGCCATTTTTGAAACATCTTCTTGCGAAATGGCGCCCTTTTCTGCATGTTTTCTAATATGGTGAAGGAGGTCAAAAATCTCTTTATGGCGCACGGGGCATTCCTCCTTTCGGTGATGGGATCTCTTTTTCTCTTTTCCTAGATTTTCTGCTGTGGCTTTTGTTTTCTTTTTGTTTTCCGTCGCTATCTCTAGGTTGCCCTTTTTTTGTCTTGATAGGTGACACAGGGTGTATCATCTTCCTCTTTATTCCTTTATTCACGGGTGACCCCTCCACTTCCTCTTCTTCATTCTCTGATGCTGGGGGTGTGCCAGCGACATAGTTGGGGTCCTTGAGCTGGTCCTCCAAATCAGAACATGCTTCTTCACTGACCTGCATTCTTCGTTGTCTTTTCTTCTCTTCCACAAACTGTAAAAAGAATTCAAGACTGATCTATCTTTCACCTCATCTTGAAGAGTCGTACAAACGTGGTGCAGTTCAAACGTCTTACTGCACAGTTCAGGTTCCTCTGGGTAACCTTGAACCTGAAACCATTCCAGATACTGTAAAATCCCGACGACCCGTAAATCACTATCCGTAATAATTTCACATTCTCCAAACAAAACTAACAAGCTGGGCCCAGCTTGATACAGCATTGAAGAAAAACATTATATTCACGGACTAAAGAAAATCGCTCAGTTATTCAGATCCAGAAGGCACTTTGGAGAAAACTGGAACCCTTGTTCAGCCGTAATAAAAAGCTTTACGCTTCGAAAGGGGTAAAAGAAAAGTGCGCTTGCATCAGAGGGCAAATCCTGCCGACCAGAAACAATAACCACAGTAAATCGATATGTGTCATGACCTCTCAGTGTGAAACCTGCGGCTAAAATCCCCGCTTAAATCACATTTGCTGTAGAACCTTCCAGAGCATAATCTACCCAGCAGAGGAAAAAAACTTTATTGGAACGGGCAGCATTTTGGCATGAGGCAAAAGTCGTGTTGGCTTCCCTTTTATTGCTCCGATCTTGAACAAATTTACTTTACTACGTCATTTCCGTCACCATGTGTTGCGGTGCACACCGAACGAAAGCGCTCTCTAGAAGCCGTAAATTTCGGTCGCCGAAAATGAATTTGAACGCTTTCTTATGCCGTTTTCCTACAGTATTTGGCAAATACATAAGAATTCTAGATCAGGTTAGTAAAATCAGGCGATTTCATTCAATTCCATTTGAGTTTCAGGGATTCGAAAATCGGCCCCAAGTTTGTTTCCTCCCTTCCCGTATTTTATACTGTAAGCCGATCTTGCGAGCCCTCAGTCTCTTGGTTTGCGGTCTATAGAATGTGTAACGAAACCGTAACGCGATTAAAATAACCCATTTTTTCAGAGGTTTTCGACGGGTTTTGATGTTCTAACGACAAACACATCTCCTCTGGACCCTGTGATGAGATGACTCGTTTGGCCAAACAGCTCCCGTGGGATCACCCCATTGCCTGCACGCTCAATCATGAAGTCCATCGTCGCAAAATGGCTGGCAAGTCGTGTCGCTTTTTTCATTAACAGGACTGGGTCCCTTCCTTCCCTCATACCCTTTTTTTTTGGTTTGTAGTGGTGTTTCCGACTTTCTTTGGCTTATCCACCTTTGCCCTCGACGATCTCGATTGAATTGGGCAGCGCGTTTTTGGGTCCCAGACTGTTCGTGTTGATTTTTTTGGCACCGATCCCTTAGATTCCCTGGAAGACAAACCTGTCTGTCATATTTATCAGTGGATAGCGCACCCTACCCACGGCTCCTAGGCAATCACTGTGATCGATGATGGATAGGTACACGCTACATGATTTAAGTTTTCCACGTGACTGTTCCTTGACAGAAGATGAAGTGGTGGCGTATGTTCGCCGATTTGACCCCATGTATCAGGAATGGGACGATTGGCCCTTACGAGTGACCTTTCGGGTCAATTCCTTTCTCCAGGCCAATGGTGCCAGTCCTGAGCCTGATTTGGATATTTTGAATTCTTTTTAGGCACCCATTGCCTGTTGCGTCATCATACGCAATGGATCCGACCCTTGCACATTGGACTCTATTACACCAGCATTCCCACGCTAATTCGGCTCTCCACTTCTTTTTAGAGTTCTCTTTGACGTTAAAGCAAATTGGCGGATGGATCAAACCCATCCAATACAGACTTCATCTTAGTAGTGTTCAATGTGTAATTCGCCTTTGTAATTCTTTGTAGGCACGTATTCGATTCTCTGCACCCACAGGGTTCATGGAGCCTCGATTGAATGGTGTTTTGGATCCGTCTTGCAATGGTACAATGGTTCGGGGGTCGTCATCCCTTCCCCACGCCCATTGCAATTGCTCTGTCAACAATGTTATTTGTACATTCGCCGTGTCACGCATGTAACGACTTCTTGTTACTGGTGCAACATGAAACAGGATTTGGGGTATAAACGCTCTTAGACTCGCTTTCATTTTTCCCCCCTTCAGATTGTCAATTCGTGGTACGGACCATTTTTCTCCCTTCCCTTTTTCAGGCACTCACTACGTCCTGAGGAACAATGTATTTCGAAGAAGAATCCCGACGGGCCAGTTGTATTTAGTGTGCAAGCTATGTTGGATTCATGTGCGGCATGTTTCCACGCTCTGTGAACCTTGTGGGGGCTCAGACTTTTAAGACAGCATAGGTTTTGAGTTAGACATTTTGTAACACCAAGAAGCCAGAGATACTTCAAACTACCCATTTGTAAGACAAATAGGTTAAAAAACACTTTTATTATGGCAAACAGTTTTAATTATTAGTAGTAATCTTAATTATTAGTATTTTGGTGTTGGTACTTCTCCTTTTGTATTTCATTGTAGGTTATATTTTGCGGTTTTTATAGTAGTTATCATATATTTATAGATAATTTTTAGTTTCATTGTAAAGTAAGTCACATTTCAGCCGGCCCGGGGGTGCAATGATTTTACTTCTTAATAAAGCTATCTATCTATCTAAGCTATCTATCACCACGGATGGTCCAGTCTGCTACATCTTTTCCGACCCAAAATAAACCATTGAATTATAAATTTTTTTCCCATTCACAGTCACTCTTGGATATCAGATAATTTCAACTTCAACCAAGAGTGGTCTTAATTGGATCTTTTTTGTGTCGATATACGAACTTTTTCAAGGGCGCGACGTCACTAGGACGTTGCACATGTCCCGACTGTAATTAAGTCATTCTATATTTTCTTATAGTCACTCATTGGATACTAAACCACTGCCTCATCCGCTGCAACAGTGGGCTTTATGTCATCCAGTTTGCTTCATGGCTTGTTTGAAACGTCCCATTCACTCCATTCCCTTTTTTTCTTTTTAGTCACTTTAATTGATATTTAATACAGCCTCATAAAACCGTGGTCGATGACAGGCTTCAATCACTTCATTGGATGGCCACGTTCCTCGCTCATGACCCACTCAGCCAAAAGGCAAACGCCTTTGCTTCTCTTCATGTATTAAGTACTCTTCATGTATTAAGTACTTCTCTTCATGTAAATAAGTACCTCTCGAGAATGTATTAAACCAACAAAGTGATTTTTATTTCCAATACAGTGTATTTTTCATTGACTTCGGGTGATGCGAAGGGTCTGGGGATTCTTTTAAGTGTTTGCGCATGCGCAGTAGGTCTATGCGGAAATACGTTAATAAAAATGCAGATCTACATGAAGATCATAGGAGAGATAACAGAGGGAGGATTCTGGGTGTGTGTTTTCGGCGCAAAAGTTCTCGGAAGGCTGGTGGAAAGGTAAGCTAAAAGGACAAAGTTAGCCTATGGGACAGAGTATTCAGGATACGCTTTTGTTTCACGCCAGTCTTGTGACATGCAACCTTTAACAGGGGTCTTTTTTGAATGAGCATGTGCGACCGCTGAACAGTAGTAAGATAGGCTACACTAGGTCCTAACCAATCAGAGCGCAGCAAAATTTTTTTTAACCAATCAGAATCGAGTATTTAGCCCATGTGACTTATTGACGTCACAAATGGCCATATTTGGACATGAATGTTCACGTGACCCCATGGAGTAAAGAACACGCACACACAAAAGATTGATCCACATACTTCACATAGTTTTAATAACCGCATAGAACCTGGTGACAAGCGGGACGTGTGTGACGCCCGAATGACGTCACGCCCTTTTTTACAAATCTAATAGGAGATCAAGTTCATCCCCAATCCTTTCGTAGCCATAGGGATAACTGGATCGGGTGGTCACATCGATAACGCGTTTGTCAAATACCAACCCATACTGCTTCACGCGCGGAACCACTTGAATTTGTTTCTTCTCTAAATCCCGTTTGAAATAATAAGGAGTGGTAATGTTCAATTGTCGGCGAGAGTCCTGAGGCGAGTCTAATTCCGAGAGAATATTGTCTTTCATGGTGTGGAAATTAAGAATAGCCGACTCCCGAACATTCAAAGTGAAACCACGGACCTTGCACACCACTTTGCCTCCACGGGTCGTATACCCATAATTCTTGGCGCCCCCAGAAACAAACTCGGTGATGACGTCCCCGTCCAATTCATCGGTCATGTCTCCTAGAAAATCACCCGTGGTAATGGAGGGTTGACCAGGACGCTATCGGTAGATCACACTGTCCGTATCGTAGTAAAGGACTTGCTGTTGAAGGATGTCCAGGGACTCGTAGAGCTTGAGTCGAGCATGGCACGTCGTGAACGCCGCCACAAAGATATTGGTCTTGGTGCCTTTGACGGCATTGTCTTGGACACTGGTGTAGACAGCCTCCAAGATGTCGTCGGTACAGAGGCGGAGTGTACTGAGATCGAGAGCCGCGTCGGAAATCAGGCTGAACAAATGGGCGGGGTCCCTGACAGTGACGGTGGTGGGTTTGTTGATACGCTCCCCAAACTTGCCCCAGAAACTGTTCAACATCAATTTGGCGGTAGCCTTGCGACCGGGATTTTTGACAATGCTGCCAATGTCCAGTCGGATGCCCTCCCGTTCCTGGTAGCGAAGAATATACTCTCGTTTCTGCTCAAGGGTCTGACACCAGCTGGGCCACCCCGCCGATTCTTGTTTCAACTTGAGCCAGGTGTTGACGTAATCGGCGAAAAGACCCGTTCGGCGTTGCTCAGGAGGAAAATGCCAGACTTCGTGGATCTTAAGGAGGGTGTACCCTTTTTCCACGGCTTTGACCAGTTAGGGGGTGCACCAGGTCCCGCGTAGTGTACGATCCGCGTCCGAATGAGGGCAATAATGGGTTCGGGTCAACATGGGTTGGGCTTGCTCTGTCTGGACGCAGGCGCGGCAGAGAGGAAAGGTGAGCTTTTGGCCACAACGTACAGGCAAGACGGGGTGGAATAGACCAGCCGGGGGAAGAATGTCCACCGTGGCCAATCCAAAATAGGAATCCAAGGACTGGTCGGCAGGTTGGGTGATGATCTTGGGATGACCAATGGGGTAAGGGCAGTTCTTGTTCACCCACGGGTACAAAGAGGTCACATCCACATAGCGTATGTCCTCGCCCTCCCCAGCCACTGCATGCAGGCCACCGCGCCGGTGCGACCTCCAAAAAAGGCGTCACGGGGTTCCAGGGGTGGGGGGAGATCAAACGACGTCAGGAAACATTGGACGGCTTCATCCGTGTCCACCAGTTTGTCCCATTCACACTCCCACATTTCAATCACCGTGTAACCCCCTCGGAGCAGGGCCATGCGTTTGGAGAGCGTGGCTTGATAGAGTTCCTCGACGCTTCGGTCTGGCACTGCATAATGTTTGACATCTCTCATAGGATAACAAGTGGGACAGCCATGGTAGAGACATCCATGAAATTCGTAGACAGTGCGGGTCAGAGGATCGTAGCCATCGACAAAATAGCTGTTGGCGAGGGTTCGGACCGACTGTTCACCCCCATTCCGGACGTGTCGAATGCGGTCGGCGCTGGCCCCCTCCTTGGGAATTTGATGTTCTTGATAGTACAACCATTGTAGGGCCTTGAGGGATTGATTGACTTGGGCCCCTCGCCAACCCCCTAGTGGTTCGACAGCGATGGTATCGGGGGTCAAATGGTGCTTGCGCCAATACAGATTGCAGGCACTGGCAATCGTGATACACTTGGCCATGGGATTGAAGCCAGCCTGCCGTTCAAATTCTTGCTGAAAAGCTTCACACCCCGCTTTCAACAGAGGCACATCCGATTTGCAATAGTCAATCATTTCTTGACGGAAATCAAAGCGCACGTTACGACGGACTTGATCCGCATGCCAACGCGTCAGGTCGTCTTTCTTTTTGGCCATCATGCCCTCGGGATCGTAAAATTCCAAATCGGGGATGCGTCTCACATACTGTTGGTGGTCGGGGGTATTGAACAAATGGGGAAAGAAGCCCTTCTTTAATTCGGTCAAATTGAAGGTGCTAGGAAAAGAGGCGAGTGGCATGGGCAAGAAACACAACGAGTCAATGAATTTGACAGCTCCGCTCCTGAAGGACAACACTTTCGCGCCCACGGTCAGTTGATCCACCACTTCGCGTTGTTGCTGGTACAGTTCNACAAATGGGGAAAGAAGCCCTTCTTTAATTCGGTCAAATTGAAGGTGCTAGGAAAAGAGGCGAGTGGCATGGGCAAGAAACACAACGAGTCAATGAATTTGACAGCTCCGCTCCTGAAGGACAACACTTTCGCGCCCACGGTCAGTTGATCCACCACTTCGCGTTGTTGCTGGTACAGTTCGTGCAGAATAAACATACCGTCAAACCCTTTCAAGCTGTGAAACACCACGAGAATGTTCCGCTCACTCTCGCTGTCCAGGACCTCAGTGAGATCATCCAAATCGCGCAGAAATTGTAGGGCACAATCCTCCCCGTCCAACACATGAATGGCGGTTTCTTCACTAGACGAGTAACACAACAAATTGGCCACAAACACACCTTCTGCATTTTGCATGGCTTCAAAATCCGCGTAAACAAACAGGGGAGGGGGTGGCGCCACCATGCTACCTCCCCCCTCCTCGGTTGATTCAGTCTCCTCATTCTCTACCACGGGTTGAATGTAACACTTATGGTCTTGGATGGGCACCCATTCCTGGCAGGCAGGACATTTGGCATACCCGCACTGGTGACGTTTGTTAGGGACAACCGTGTACTGGGCCTGGCACTTGAGACAGATTTTGAGGGATTGACATTGCTTGCTGACTTCATGATGACGTTTACAATGGTCACCGTGAAACTTGCGGTGACACAGACTGCAATACTCCGTGGGGCGGGTACCGCGCACATAATCTGGACAATCAAATCGACCGCACGCTTTGCAGCGTCTCCCTTGACAAGTGTGACCGGTCCGATTGTTGGTGTTGAACCCTCGTTCACAGTCCAGGCAATAATAGGAGCGGTTGACAAACGCAGGAAAAGACGTGCAGCCATCAAAATGATCATTGGATTTCAATAAACGAATCTGATGAGGCGCGTCAGGTCCTTTGAAGATGAGAAAAAACGGTTTCATCCGGGTCATCACCAATAGTTGATACTGAGGCCCCAACGCTTGTTGAAATTGACGCAGCTCGGGTAAACCACAGGGACCCTCAACCACCCCTGCTTGCTGATGGAGGGCCTGGGCTTGTCGTGACTGCACAGGACGACCACGTTTGAGATTGTCCCAGTCGCGAAACTCGTCCACGCCTTGGTCTTTATGGCAGTGGGCTCGCATGGTGACAATGGCGCGGGCACAGCATAGGGCATCTCTGTTTCGAATGGTAATAATGCATTGTTTTTTCTTGTTGTCTCGATCCAGGCATAGACGTCCCGCATTGCGTTGTTTATGTCGACCGGACCCTGGACCAGGCATGGAGACAAACACCACATCCACTTGGAAACCGCGATCGGGGTTGAAAGCTTCATTGCTGTTCAACTTGCCTGCTAACGTAGCTAACATCTCATCCAAACGAGCCGTGCGTTGTAAAAACTCCCCCACCGTGAAATTCGCTGTTTGGTAGGCGTGGGTGAACCCATGCGCCGTGATGGCAAAATTGACAAAATAATGGGCAGGTCGCTGCTCGCGGCCGAGTTCCGTTTCAATGGCCTGGTGTAACGCTTCGGTCAAAGCCAAGCCAATGTTATCCCCAGGGACAGGATCCCGTAATTGCGCATTGAATTGCGCGCGTTCCACTACATCACGCCAACGGCGTCGTCGACCGATGGGTTGCATGGTGAATTGAAAGAGAGGGCCACGAGCGGCAGCCTCTCCCAACTGTTCCCACCGATCATAGGCTTGGTCCAATAGAGCATCCCCCTCTTCGTCATCACTGAAGTGATACTCCTCCGCCATGACGACGGAAAACCATTTGAATTTTCCCGCGCTGGACGTGGACTTTTATAGACCTTCTCACGTGATCTTTCACGCGCTGGGATTGGTGGACCAAGCTCAGGTGAGAGTCAGGTGAGGGGTTTAATCGACAGGAAGAAGATCAAGGGTGGTCCCCCCCATGGGTACAGACTCCTCCCCTCTCCTCTGGGCCTGGACCGAGATCAGTGATTGGTGGAAAGAACCCTAGATAAAATCCATCGTCCAGGACAGACGTCAGTTGCATTCGAGATGCCCAACAAAAATCCAGAAAAGACGAAACAGTTAAAGCACGAGTGGTACGTGAGAAACAAAGAGAGATTGTTGCAACAGAAACGGGATAAGCGAGCGGCCCAGAAAAAGTTGAAACCACCCCGTCCACCCAAACCCGCTCCTACGCCCGAACAGAAAGCGCAAGCCCGAGAGTTCAACCGACTGGCCTGCCAGCGATATCGAGCCAAAAACGCAGCCTATGTACGCTACTTGAATCGGGACTACTATCAACGGAACCGCGAGCACATCGTACAGCAACAGCGAGACCGTCGTGCCAGGGATCGACAGACCAGAGAGAGTCCGTTCCGAAAGTTGCGAGCCTTGGCCGACGTGTGTGCCGCCCGGTTACTGGAAGTGGAGTATGGATACGCCCGGATCGAACCAGCGACGCAAAAAGAGGGACCCCGAGAGAAATAAGATTCAACAATAACTGTATAGGCAGCGACAATATGCGGCCTTCAACGGCATCGAGGAGGTGAGGGCCCTCAACCGTCGGCGTTACACCGAACGCATGGCGCGCCTGAAAGCTAACGGGGAGTACGAGGCCTTCAAAAAAAAAAAGGTCCAAGAGGGTTTACGACGCTACCATGCCATGTCGGAGGAAAAGCGGAATGAAGTGAAACGTAAGAACGCGCAATGCCAAAGGAACTGGATGCAGAAAATAAAGGAGGAGGGGACCTACGAGGCCTACAAACACCGGTTGAATGAACGGCGGCGGGCGTTGCAAGCAGAGAAAAAGCGAGTCTTGGGCGAGGAGGGGTGGAAAGCCTTGCAGAAACAAAAGTACGAGCATCGAATGGAATCGATTCGGCGTCAACGCTGGCAATGGTTGGACGAGCAATTAGAGCGTCCCTTTCCCCTCCCGTGGTTGCCGTTAGACTGGGCCGAGCCCGAGCCTGAAGAGGAGGACCCTGTACTAACCCTTCGTACACACGCATTACAACAGTTGGACCAGTATTTGTAAGAACAAAAGATAAGTTTATTAAAACTGTGATTATATCATTCAATCATATTGTCTTTTTTACGACTGTGTTCATAGTAACTGTTCACATGCCCAATCGAAGTTTGGTTTTCATAATGCGTCTCACAATACGCTCTATCAGGGTTTTACTGCCGGGGAGTTGATCAATCTTGGCAATCATCTTGCGATCCGCCACCCATTTATCTTTCAAGGTCTTGGCTTTATCATAGTCCATGTCATGCACTTTCGCAATCCTGTCTAACCGGTTGATACCGGGATCCCCACGGGCCAATCTTTTTTTCAAATGGGTGCGAGGTCCCATGTACTGATAGCCGGGCCAATGAAATTCAATACCCGTCTTGTTGAGGAGGTTTTGCACATCAAATAATTTGCCCCCGTGCTGCGATCGTCGTCGTCGCCTCAGTCGGGCGTGGAGCGCAGCAGCCACACGGCGTCTCCGTCCCATCACGGGGTTTTCCACGATTTCCAATCCAACGCTTTCTTGGCCAGACCGGCGGCTTTCTTTTTGGCCACTTCAGACGCTTTCTTTCTAAGTTTTCTCTTAATAGCTGGAGAGAGCGTGGAAGAGGTCGAGGTCGAGGTCGAGGTCAATGTACCAGGCAACCCTTCGGCCAAGTCTGCACTGCTCACTTGGGGCGTAAACTTGAGTTTCTTTTTGGCACTGGGGGTGATGTTCGGTTTAGGCGGGACAGGTGGTTTTCTGGGTCCTGCAGGCGTAGACCCTTGTTTTATACCCTGGGTGGCCTTGACCAATTGCGTAAACCACGCTTGCATAGGCCCCGCCTCAAACTCGTCGTCGCCGGGGGTCGTGGCCCCTGCTTCTGTCACACCACCCGCCGGGACCCCAAACGGTTGGCTTACTTTTTTAGTCCAATGGCGTAACTGACGGCTCACGGCTTTGAGTTGAGGCCGTTTCCAGGCATCAGGGACCTCACTGGTCAAGAGCACATGTTGCTGGGCGGCCAAGTCCGCGGCTTTGGCAAAGCGAGTGTCTTCCACCAATTCTTGTTTGTACTTCTCCTTTAACTGTAAAAAAGCAGGGGCGTTGTCCACCGTGGTGCTCACCATCTCGGGTTCCATGGTGCAACTGACGTGTCTTGTCTAGCGCATGAAACGTTTATAACAACGGTAGAGTTCAGGCCAGAGGGCGCCGCCTGTTTGAGCCATCATAATGGCGCGCCGTCGTTTCACCGAATGCGCGGGTTTGGCCATGGCGTAAACTCTGGGCGTGGGGTTTGAGCAACGTGATGGTATGTCGAGAGCGCGGCACGGTGCCACGGAGCGTGTTCATCACCAATTCACTAATCGCATTGATCTGATCCGCATTCGCCATCCGCAACAATTCTTGTCGTTTATAATGATTGGCTTCTTGTAAGACACTTTTCAAGAACGGGGCTTGACGTTCCATACGCCACGCCATGCTGAAGGTTAAGGAATTGCCACGACCCAGCTCTATTTATGGTAAATTGGGCCCCACACTGGCGACATAATTCCCCATGATAATGCTGTTGCATATGACGTCGACATCGCTGACACAACGCGGCGTCGATCTCCTCCGTCCACTCTAACGACAGCGTAATGGCCTTGCGAGGGGGTCTAGTCCGGTCGACGAAGACGGATCCTGGGTTTGAATTTCCTGAGCCACAAAGGCGAGAGAGCCATTGCCAACAACGGTAGCCTACCTCCGCGTTGCAGACCGCGTCGATGACGTCGCTTTCGGGGGACATAAGGATGTCGGCGTCCATTGGGTCCACGGACCATCCTCCAATAATGTCTTGTTCCCACCAAGCGTGTCTTTTTATACCATATTTAGCGACAGCAGAGACGTTAGAGGAGGTTTCATCCCTGTTCGACTGTACATCTGGTTAAGACGTTTTAGATTGGCCTGCCATTGCGCGTGACTGATCTTGCCCACTTTTTTCTTGCGCGTTGCGGCTTGAATGGCTTTTTTAGCACCGTAGCCCGCGCCACCACTCACGGCTCCTAGTGCTGCCGGGTTTGGGTGGCTGTCGTGCTGGGAGCGGTGGTGATAGAGGGTGGTGGAGGTGGCGGTGCCGTGGCGGTAGTGCCTGTGCCTGCCACAGGAGGTAAGGTGAAAGCCTCCAAGGCATCGTCCACATTGACCGGGTAGGTCAAGTTAAACGCCTCAATGTCTTGATCCAATTGGGCTCGATCGACTGGTTGAGTCAATTCGGTCACCATGTCCGTCATGCTACTGAGGTCCTGGAGGGGAGGAGGGGCGGTGGGAGAGCCCACACCGGCGGGCGAGAACGTCGGGGTGTCCTTGCGGATTGATAAATCACGTTGTTGTCCGCCTTCTCTTTGCCGACGGACCCTGGCGAGTTCTCGTTGCAGTTCGTTTTCGAACGGCAGGGACATCCACGGGGAGGGTATGGACTTGCGCCTTGCCTTCTTGGGGCGTTAAAGACTCCACAAGCGGTACCGATCATCCGAGGCTGGATGCACATCCAACATCAAATAGCCAAAGGGACGGGACGTGATGCGTTTAAATAGGCGCAAGACTTGACGCCATCGGTCGGGAAACGCTTGCAGTAAAATGGTCCGTATGCCCGTTTGATCCCGGGGATTCTTCAAGGCCACAATGTAATGCGCGTTGCGATTGATGGTCTTGGAAAATTTGCCAGGCGGGAATAAATCTTGTGTCAAATACAAGACGGTGATATTGCGATGATGGGAATCTTTGGTGAACAAATCCAACACGCATTTGTCCTGTCCCCCTTCTTCCATCAAATCGCCCAAGACGAGTACCCCGCCGCGCGTCCGGCCAAACCATTGGGTCAAATGACGGGGGTCCGGTAACCCGCGATGAAACTGAATCCCATCCTTCTTTTGCATACGGTCAAACCGGGGTTGCCATCGGTCGTACGCATAGACGATCTTGCGAGGTTTCACTTGAAACACGTTGAGGGACCGTAACCATTGTTCCACTAACTCGCTCTTGCCGCTCCCTGACGGACCAGCTATAATCACACTACTGGGATGTCGGATCATCCTTCCCACGGTTGAGGCAGACGACGGTAATGACCCGTGGCCCCTTTAGTACCCATACGTTTATACCGTTTGTCACGTCCCAATTTGTCACCGATTTTATACGCTTTGGCCAACACGCTCATGATCCCACGCCCGTTTTGACGAAAACGGGGTCGTCGGGAGGAAGCGCGTCGTCGTCGTCTTGGTCTGCGACTGGGCATGTCGTCCAATACTCGCGGTAGAGTCGTGGCGATTCAAACTGAATCAGATGTTCCATCGTCTCTCTTAAATGCGTTTCACGCATGGTGTCCATGTACTGTTTGAGGGCCACCCAATCTTGATCCTGGGCCAGTTGGCGGGCAGTTAACCAATGATACCCATCCCAGGCATCGACGCCTTGGACGGTGTTCACCCGTTCGAGGGGGTGCAACCACCAATACAGGGTTTCTTCTAAGAGAAAGGCTTCGATCACACGCTGGACATCGCTTCGCGTAATCATGATGAGATACAAATGACCACCCTTTGACCACACATCTCGTTTTATGATTTTTTTTTATTTTTAACACTCACACTGATTACACAGCATAAAGGCCTCGCGGCTCACATTCTTTTGCCCCCCATCCGGTCGGGCATCGACTTCATCTTGTACTTCTTGTTTAATCACGCGTTTCAACTGATCGGCCACTTTCTGATCATTCAACACTAAATTGTCGCAACTCCATTGCCCCAAAAATTCTTG